ATATATGCAGTGTATTATTTGTTGAAACTGTACTTCCGATTTGATTTGAAACTGTCTCATTGCTGTTTATCAATAAAACTATAAAAAAAAGTTAGAAAAAACATGAAGTAACCCAACGTTATATTTGAGAGATTGTGTCATTGAATGAACTATTGTAAAACCAGTATGATTATGGGAAAAAAGTGTAAGTTAGATACAAACATGTTTCATAACAAAAAAAAAAAAAAAATTTGTGGGGGGGTCAAAACCAAGCTGGACTGTATAGCAAGACCCTGTCTCAGCCACATGAAAATATTTCATTAAATGTGTGACTTGACGTATTAGCTATTCAAAACATAAAATAATCTTTAAATTATCAGAAAATAATGTTATGAATATAAAAAGACTTACCAAACATCTGTTGTTTTTAAGGGCTTACATAGAGCAAAAACCAGTAGTAATAGAATTCCTAGGAGAAAGTTTGTACAAAAAGAAATGTCAGGAATATTATAAATTATATTTATTCATCTCAACAGGAGAAAAGTCGTCGTGGAGTGAAAATCAATGAATGTAATCAGTGTTTTAAGATCTTCAGCACAAAATCTAACCTCACTCAGCATAAGAGAATTCATACTGGAGAAAAGCCTTATGACTGTAATCAGTGTGGGAAATCCTTCAGCAGTAGATCTTACCTTACTATTCACAGGAGAATCCATAATGGGGAGAAACCCTATGAATGCAATCACTGTGGCAAAGCCTTTAGTGATCCTTCATCCCTCAGACTGCATGTGAGAATTCACACCGGAGAAAAACCTTACGAATGTAACCAGTGTTTTCATGTCTTCCGCACTAGCTGTAACCTTAAGAGCCACAAGAGAATCCATACGGGGGAGAATCACCATGAGTGTAATCAATGTGGAAAGGCCTTTAGCACAAGATCCTCCCTGACTGGACACAACAGCATTCATACAGGGGAGAAACCTTACGAGTGTCATGATTGTGGGAAAGCCTTCAGGAAGAGCTCCTATCTGACGCAGCATGTAAGAACTCACACAGGAGAAAAACCCTATGAGTGCAATGAGTGTGGCAAATCCTTTAGCAGTAGCTTTTCTCTAACAGTACATAAGAGAATACATACTGGAGAGAAACCCTATGAATGCAGCGACTGTGGAAAAGCCTTTAATAATCTCTCAGCTGTTAAGAAGCACTTAAGAACTCACACTGGAGAAAAACCCTATGAATGTAACCATTGTGGAAAATCTTTCACTAGTAACTCTTACCTTTCCGTGCATAAGAGAATACATAACAGGTGGATATGAATTGGAATGAGAAATTACTATAGGAAATTTCTGTGAGAAAGCTCTTGTCGACCTCTCAACGTGAGAGAACTCACAACAGATATATAGGTTATCTGTTGCTGCATAAAAAGTCATTCCCCAAAACTGGCTGCAGAATTCAGGAACAGGTTAGCTCCATAATTCTGGTTCAGGCTCTTTCATGAGATCGCAATTCAGATGTCAGGTAGAGCTGTGGTCAACTGAAGTCTTTACTAATGAAGGATTTACTTCCATGTGGCTCCCTCCCGTGTCAGAAAATTAGTTCCAGTTGTTGACAGGAGATCCTTAGTTCCTCTGCATGTAGGTTTTTGCAGCCTGGCAGCAAGTTTTCCTCAGACCAAGTGATGGGAGAGCTAGTGAAGAAATCATGTTTCTTATGACCTGTCACCAGAAGGATGTATTTGCACTTTCCTTATCATACTGTTACACATAGTCCAATCCTGATAACAGTGTACAAGAATATAATAGGAAGTTGTGAGTACTAGGAGACAGAGATCACTGGAAACCATCTAGGAAACTTGCCAAGAATTTAATAAAAGCCTTCAGCACACCTTCATCCTTCCATTCAATATGAAATGTTATTCATTTAACTCTCCCATTAATTTTGGAGGGAAATCTACTGAGTACAGTATATGTGATAAAACTTCCAGCTCGCAAGGCGTGGTAGCACATGCCTATAGTCCCAGCACTTGGGAAGCTAAGGTAGAAGGATCACTATGTAGCAAGTTCAGGGACAGCCTGAACTCCATAGTAAGACCCTGTTTCAACAAAAACCAAAACAACCCCAAAGCTACCACAGCACAAACTCACATTAGTATGCCCAGAAAAACCTACACAATGAAAGGAAAGCCTTCAGCTGCAATTCTTGAGAATTATGTGAGAAACCCTATGGAGTTCATCCAAGTGCAAAAGCCTGATGGTCTTCTTTTCAGACACATGTGAAATCAGAAAACTGATTTCCACATGTGAAATGTGGAAAACTAATACAAGTATTCATGTTACTGAGTTACTGATGGTGGGGTGCTCTGTTTGTAGCGACTTTAGGAAAACCTTGAACATTCTCTAATTTTTAAAAAGATGTGAGAATTTTTTTACAGAGAGAAAACTGTTGAATGTCATTGGTATTGGAAGACTTTCCATTTTCCCATATTCAGTAGAAAACTTGTAACTATAAAGAAAGGGCGAGGAAGAAATACTGTATTGAACTGAATGCGGTATTTTTAAGGGGAGATGGCTCAGTAGAACAGGCACTTGCCTGGCAAGTGCAAGGGCCTGAGTTCAATCCCCAGTTCCGCCAAAAAAATAAAAATAAAGGGAGAAAGCTTTCTAAGAGGCTACTTATAAAAACACTCCCCAGAGGCAAAACCTATAAGTATTAATTCTGAAAGTTTTTCATTGATTCCTCTCCAAAACATTTATATGATAGAACAAACTCTGTGGTAGAATACCTCAGCCTCAGCTCTTCACTAAGGGACTACACAGTAATTGATACTGAGAACAAAAAGTGTAAGTGAAGCTGGGTTAGCATTCCCATTTTCTACTCTAGATTTGACCACTGATTCATTAATTATAGTCTTTGTTTCGTGTAGACATTTATATCTGTTTCTCAAACCCTAAGGTTGAATGCAATCTATTATTTGTTCTTTATAAACATTAGTGGATTGCACATATACAGATGCAGTATTTCTAAATACTCCATGAATGCATTTATTTATCATGAAATGATACCTCTGATACTTTTTTTCTAAGTGATACTTTTGTCAGAATGTGTAGAGTTCAGGCCAGCCAGATAGCAGACTGAAGTGCCTGCTTAGGCAAAGCACGAGGACCAAGGTTCAATCCCCAGCACTACATGCCATGCTTGCCCCGCCCACAGGACGCAATTGAGACAGGGTATAGTGGTACGCACCTGTAATCCCAGTGCTTTGGAGGCTTAAAAAAAAGGATCACTACAAGTCTGATCTGTGTAGTGAGACCCCGTAGACCCTGTACTAGATACATTTTTTAAAAGGTGTAGATTTAGTTGTATTGATTCTTTTTTTTCCTCTGTGCTAGTATCACAGAAGCCATTAGCTTCTTTCCCAATGCTTGTGCTCCCCTCCTTTTTTAAAAGAAACATTCCCAAACTGAGCAATATTGAGAATAAACCACCAGGCTTTCTTGACATCCAGACAGACTTTGTTCCATTCTGGTGGCTGTGAGAATTAGGTAAAGTCATTTTGAGGCTTGAAGAACCATCTCACTTGTTTTCTTTACCCACTTTTTATTTACCTTACGGAAAGTGGCCTCAAGGTCTGGAGAACAAAGAACTGTTACACACATACACAAACACACACACACACACACACACACACACACACACACGTGGACAGAAGCTACAGTGAAGCAAAAAAAAACTGCTTGATTTTCCCCAAGACACATATGGGCTGTGTCAGCTCTAGACTTCTTAATAAGACTTACATGTGAGCAAATGTAACCCCAGACCAGTGGAAGCCAAAGCGATTTGTCGTTTTTGAGGTATTTTTGTTAACTTTGAACTGAATACAGTATTTTTAAGGCCAACTTCGTAGTTTGCCCAATGTTATCAGTATCTCATGTGTCTTTCCAAATGATGTATATTCTCCAATATGTTCATATAGAATACATGGAATTTAAGCTAATTGTGTTTTCATTGTATGTTCAGATTTTCTTTTAACTTTAGTGGTAACAGTATAGTAAAGCCTCCCATTATGATTGTGGATTAACGTTCTTGTAATTGTGTGTTTTTTTCCCCTTATTTATTTGGCTAATACTATAACTGGGTGTATATAGATAGGATCAGATGTTTTCATGTGAATTGTTCCTTTTGTGGGTCCCCTATTTTTATATAGCTAAGAATCATAATACCTTGATAATCAGTGGTGAAGTATGTAGAACATTTTCTACATAGGCAAAAACACCTTATAAATACTGAGTATAGTAAGGCCTCACTTCATGAACACTTCTATTTCTAAACATTTTACTTCACAAATGAAAGCATTTAGCAACATTTGCTGCCATTAGCAAACAACGTATGACATACATGATTGTGGCATCTTCCCCACACAAAACAACTGCAGCCATCTCCCCCACATCCTAGAACAAATGAAGTGTATAAACTGAGTTACCACTGTGTCATTATTCACTTGAGTTATGTTTTATTCACACAGAAGTTACTTGCCTGAGTTCACTGGCCAAGAGTAGAGCCCAGATTTGAACCTGGACAGTCCATGGTGGTAACCGCTATCCTATTAAGTACACTCAATGGGCCAAGCAAGATTTTTAAGCACCACAGCCCTTCATTCTAATGGAAAGTGTTGAATTTTAGAAAAATTTAAAAATGAGTTACATGCTTTTCAGCTCAAAAACCACACTAATTCTTTTAAGAGAGTAGTCTTATATTTTCTGTGCAGTAGTTGAGAAACTTCAGGAGCTGAGCAGAGATCTTGATGAGACATGAATTTCCGTGGCAAGAACCGTCTGGGCAAAGACCTGTGATGAGTAAGTTGGTTCCAGGTGATATTGAGGCAGCAGAAGAAATGTGGTAGATCCTGCTCTCATGTCATTGCTCGACTTTTTCTTCTATTTTCAAGCAGTTAGCATATTGTCAAATGTCCCTCATAAGTTCCTATGTTGAAGGCTTGACCCAGAGTGCCAGCAGTTTTCAGAGTTCAGGCCTTTAGTAGGTGACTGGGTGATGAGAGCTGTGCCTTCATTGATGGATTAATCATTGATCGGTTTGAAATTATGTGGCACTTTGTTAAGTAAAATTCTGTATGAGTTGTCAATAAATAAAGTGAAAAAAATTTAAAAATAAAAATAAAAATAGACAAGAATAAACTGCTGGAAAAAAATGAAATTATGTGGCATTACAAGAAAGTAGTGGAAATGGGACCAGTTGGAAATTAGCAAGTCTTGGAGCCATGCTCTTGGAGGCCATCTTGTCTTTGATCCCTTTCTCTCCCACTCTGCCCCCTGACAAGATGTTTCCATCTTGCAGCGGGCCTAAAAACAATGAAGCCAGTGCACTGTGGACAGCATCCATGAGCCAAACTAAACCTTTCTTGTTTAAAGTTGTTATTCTTGGGTATTTAGCCATAGCAATGGAAAGCTTGGACTTTAAACTTATAGGTAAGGTGGTCCCTCACTTATCATAGAGGTTATGTTACAGACTCCCCTGTGATGAGTGACAATCAGAATAGCAATGTTATATTTTAGTAGTTATATATATTTAAGGCTTTATAAATCCACACTTTTAAAAAAACACTGCTTATGTTCTTAACCATTTTCTAAACTCATAATTTTAACAAGTATACTGTACCATAAAATCCCATGATATGGTGAAAAATCTGTGATAAATAATTTAATTTTTTTTGAAAACCCGTGAGACAGTGAGTTGGTTTGACAAAAGTCAAACTACAAAATAGCGAGGGGTTACTATATCTAGTGAGAGAATAGTACATGAGGAAAGAAATGCTGGCATGGTTAAATTATAGACTGTGTTATACATTGAGTGTGGAGAGGAAAACATTTGGCACTCAGTAGAACAATTTGCATAATGTTCCTTGGCCAAGTTGGGTGGTAAATAACCAAATGCAGAAGCTGTGTCCCCAAAGGGAGTGGTAACCAATGTCCAGACCTCTCAGCCTCAAGGGTTTAAGCTTCATGAGTCACCTAGACCAGCAGAGGTGAGAGCTGAGGGAGAAGGGAAGCCAGAAAAGGGTAGCAGATAGCTGTGGTAACAAGTATCACCTCCCCCTGTGATGGGAGGGCCCTGGCCATAATTGGTTTCATTGCTTTTCCTCTATACACCTCTCCAGGCAACAAGGCCATCCCAAATCCTGGGCATACTTTAAGAAGCAAGTCCACTGGAGTGGCATAAATGATGTGCTACAAAGAATCCCGTATTGTGTTTTCCAGATTCCTCACAACTAACCCACTCTTCAGCAGACAGAAGCATTGGCTGCTGATTGCCCAGGCTGTCATCCACCTGAGAATTTCTTAGGCCAAAGGAGAGTACATGAAATAGAATGGCATCTTCCCAGGCAGCCCACTTCTCCTGACCTGTTGATTGTGGGAAGGGGAGAGGGCCAACGTACAAAGGCCCAGGTCCTTTGCCTTAATCTGGGATTCACCTCTAGGACCACACGACCTTCATGGTTCCCTATGGGACCAACATCAGCTGTATTATTATTTACCACAATTTCACCTCTTTTCTCCTCCCAAACCTAGTTCTCTCCTTTAGATGTTATGTCTCTGGGAGGATTCAATAGAGTATGTTAAACAAAAAGTTTTGCCTCAACTCAAAGAATATCACGCTAGTAAATGAACAGCCTGATTTGGATGAAGGCCTGGCAGAGATGAGGAAGAACATGAAATGGGTCATAGAAAGCTCCAAGAGCCTTAGCAGGGAATAGCTACTAAAAGCTAAAGAGTTGGTGAGAAATTTCACAGGACATTAGAGATCAACTTTTTTTTTTTTCTTTTCTTTTTGAGACAGGGTGTCGTTATGCAGTCCAGGCTGGCCCTGAACTCACTTTGTAGCCCAGGATGGCCTCAAACTTGCAGCAATCCTCTTGTCTTGGCCTCCTGATTGCTGAGATTACAGGTGTGTGCCACCATGCCCAGCTCGAGATTGATTTCTGGGATGTTCAGTGTAGAGTAAACTTGAAGAAAGCAGAGTTTCATTTAACTCTCTCTGGAAATGTCACACCATGAAACTAAGTTTTATGTACTAAAAATGAGGAACACATCTTAGGAATAAATTCAAAACTGAAATGTTCTATTAATAACTGACCGCCATTCCTACAAGATTCTTAAGTAAATTGGTTACTGAATGAGGAATTGTGTATAGTATGTACATTATTCAGAACAAAGAAATAGTCAAAGGAAATTCAAACTATATTACCTTGCTTTTTTTTTTATTTTATTTTTATTTTTTGGCACCAGGGATCAAACTTAGTTCCTTGAGCTTGCCGAGCTGGTACTTATGCCACTGAGCTATCTCTGCAGCCCACTGACTTTTTATGTGCTTCACTTTTCCATGTGGTCTTGTATAACAGGACATAAAGCTACTGTGCAGTACATCAGCAAGACTTACGGCACTACATAAACAAGGTGTGCTGTATAGAAAAAGCATAATGAGGCTGTATTATCACCTGTACAGAACTGTACATCTCCCCAAAAAAGCAAAAGGACAGTCAT